CATCGATGTCGCCCACCTGATCGCCCAGGTGGGCCGGCACTCCAGCGTGGCCGCAGCTCCCGGAGTCACCTCCCGTGTGGGAAGTCCCGGAGGAAAGAGATGAGCGCGCAGAGGCGGGGAGGGAGGGGTGGCCGGGGCCCTGACTGCATTCCAGGTGGGGCCGGCAGGGGCTAGTCCTGAGGGAGGAGGGCTGCAGGCCGGGCCTTACCTGGTCCCAGGCCTCGACCTGGCACACGTCGCTGAAACCCTCCTCCCTCCCGCCCCCCTCCGCCCCCCCCGCCCCCATGGTGCTGGACGGACAGGCGCACTTGTGCCAGGGGACGAGAATGGGCAGGCCTCAGGGGGTGGGCGGAAAGTTGCCTGCCGTATCTGAGAGGGCTTGGAACTCAGGTGGGGCTCTCAGGTAGGAGGCCTGGTGTGAGGGAAAGGGACAGGAGAGGTACTTGGATTCTCCCACCCCTCCGCTTCAGGACAGCATGGGCCCCAACCCTGTGAGCTTCCAGCTCCCCACCCCACTCTTTGCTGAGCACACGCTGGTCCCCTGAGACCCCAACCCCTGCCCAGAGCCCTTCCCCACCCTCTGAATTCCATGACCCCGCTGGCTTTGCCTACCTCTAGGTAAATAATCCACTGCTACTGAGGCCTTTCCGACTCATAGCCACCATCTCGGTCAGAGTTGAACTGCCCCCAGGGATTTCCACGGTTCCAAATCCTTTCAGGACCAGGCAGCAGCATCTTCCATTCTCCCAAGGGGTGGCTGGTGGGCTCGACCTGCTGATCTTGCTGAGCCACTATGCCAGTAGGGCTCCTCCCCTAGGCAAATGGCCCACCACTGATTTATCAGTATTTGCATCTTTCTCCATCTGAGAATTGACTTTGGCCAAGGTAGGGGAGGGGCTATCAAGACCAGTGGCCAAGCCCCATGTGGACCAAAGCTCATGGCAGCCACTGGACAGGCTTCCCAGGTCAGGCGGCCAGTTGTGGAAGGGCCTCCCAGAAGGGCATGCAGCCTGGGGCTCTCGCAGAGCCAAGGACAGAGCTGGGGGCGCTGTGAGGGAGCCTCATAAACTGGCTGCTGATAAGAATGGTAGGCAGATCGCCAGGGAGTATCCTGCCTCTGATGGCCTCAGGCTTGTCCCTAGGCTCCTGGATGCATCTCCCCATTGGCCGCCTGTTCCCAGGAGTGTCTGTGTGTCTGCCTGTGTCTCCTCCCTCAGAGGACACTGCTCAGATGTGACCAGGACCTGCCCTGCTCAGGTGTAACCTCGGGCTAGTCCCGCTGATCGAGCCTCCAGAGAACCTGCTTCCAAACCAGCTCACACTCACGGGTCGGCTTGTTCGAGGTCCACTTCCTTCCCTAGCAAATGCCATTGGGCAGGCGTGAGAGTTGGTATCTTAGGGGGATGGGAGGCCGGAGGGAGGCAGCAAGATAGGGCAGACCCAAGACTCGAGGCCACAGTTGCCCCAAAACTGACCCTCCCCCACTTGGATGCTCCTGGCTGGTCTAAGGTTCTGCGTAGCCAGGCCCACTGTCTTCCCTGAAGAAAAGGAAGGGGGAAGGGGGCAAGGACAAAGGGCTTGCCAACTGGGCAATGGGGGCAGTCTGTCTGGGTGCAGACCAAGCTGTGTGGTGCTGGCAGGAGGCTGGACACTGGCCAGAGGACAGCGAATAGCCACAGACATACATGGTCATTCAGTGTAGGAGTTTGGGGGCATTTCAGGTAAAGTGGAGGGACAGTGACAAAGAAGAAAACCCTGGACAAGATGGACGAATACTGGCCATCGATGGGCTCAGACAGAGGGACCATGGTGAGGTGGTACAGAGCAGGCAGTTCTCTTGCACACACAGTCCCAGTGAGGCTGGGCTGACCCAGCTGTCTGAGAGGACAGGGCTTCGGTTATCAGGGTGTTGGAAGGAATCCTGAGTGGCCACCTGGAGGAGGTGTTGGAGTCGTTGGGGTGCTGGAGACACAGAGAGGTCATCTACAGAGTGGTCACCTGAAGGAAACAGGGCACTGGGTGTTTGTCCCCCTCACTCCAGAATAAACCCACCCGGACCAGAAATACAGCACAAAAACCCAAGCCACAGCTGGCTTGGAGGGCAGCAAGGGTCCACAACAAAGCAAAGCCTGCTTTCTGAGAAGCTGGACCCTGTCACAGAGGAGACGTCTTGTAGACCATATCGCCAGGGAACTTACCTGGCAGCAACCTCAGGGAGGGACCTTGGCCGGTCAACCAGTCAGGCTGGCCCCTCAGAGGCCATTATCTGCCTTGAGCAGCGGGGCAGGCCTCAGGGTGGCTGCACTGTGTCCAGAACCAAGTCTCCACAGCTGAGGGGCTCCTGGCCAGGGGCTGGACGCTGGACGTCATTAGCTGCAG